TCTGCTGTGTGAACTGAACTTCATTTCTTCTCCTTCTCTTCCTCCTTCTTCTGCTCCTGCTTCCTCTGCTTCCTTTCCTCCTCTTCTTCCTCCTCATCTTCTTCTTCCCCTTCTTCCTTTCATCCTCCTCCTCCTCTTCTTCTTTTTCTTCCTCTTCTTTTTTGAGACAGAGTTTTTCTGTGTAACAGTCCTGGCTGTCTTGGAACTCACTTTGTAGACCAGGCTGGCCTTGAACTCACAGAGTTCTGAATGACTTATTTTAACTGGTTATATTTTAAACACAAGTCTCCATATATGTCTAGTGGCTGCCACATTGGCCAGGATTTCCCTAAGGTTACCTGTTCAATCGTGTGATTCCCTAGTAATTCCAGGCATTTATCTAATTCAGACCATCAGGATAGATTTAACCTCACTGCAGTGGCAGGCTTTACATGTGTTGTTTATGTCCCCAGTGGTCTGTGTAACCAGGACTATTCTCTGCCTCTCTTGTTGGTGAAATTGCAGGAGACAGAAAGGTCCCTTTGGGTTGGCCATGATAGTGCAGGTCTGAGGCCTGCTGAAGTGGGAGGAGACTGATTTAAGTGCAGCCTGGGCTATATAATGAGACCCTGTCTCAACAGACAGACAGATAAGTCCCTTTGTCCAGGAAGAGCCAGACTAAGGCAGTGCTTTAACTGGTTCAGCAGCAAGAATAGTGTGGAGGAGCCTGGAAGATTTTTTTTCTTCCCTTGACAGAGGTACAGAGGGAGGCTAAGAGGGAGCTGTAAGAGACTGCTGCCAAGGAAAGTATCCAAAACCCAAAGGAAAAGAAAAACCCACAGCCAGGATGGGATGCACACCAAGGTGGGGCACGACAGTGGACCCGGAACTCCCTTCCATACAAAATTCCTGCGATTCCTGCTAAAGCTGCCTCCTTGCATTGCTCATCTGGGGATGCCAGGAGCAGAGAGCAAATCCCGGAGGGGTTGGATTGAAATTTAAATTGAGAACATACAAAGGTTATTATCTCAGTAACAGAATTACACAACAAGATAACGATTAGGTAGTAGTTCTTGTGCATAGAGACCATAGGCCCAATGGCCACATGCACTTACAGCAAGTAGCCTTACTTGTAATGGGAGAAAAAGGCAAGCCTGGGCTACATGGTAAGATTCTATCTCAGACAAAAAAAAAAAAAAAAAAAAAAAAAAAAGAGTACTAGAGAATATGAATATAAGCAATGAAAGGAAATCGTTCCACCAGAAAAGTTGACAGGGTGTAGAGTTATACATCACACAGTGTACTGTATCACAGTAGAAATGGAGCAAATGCTGCTGCATTTACCATTGTAGAAAGATTTCAAGACACTAAATGGGGGAAGTGACCTTGTGTACACACATTATTATGCCAAAGAGCGTGTAAAGCTAAGAGAGCCCAGATCTGGGAATCCAGCAACTGTGGAGAAGGGAGGCAAGTGGCCAGGCTAGTCAGGGGACATCATTGCCTCTGGGGCAAAGGGGTGGGATAAAGACCAGGGCCCCTGGATGTCATGGTAACAGCTACGCTCCTTTTGTCAACCTGTGCCAGTAGCTGGAAGCATAGAATTGCACACTGTGACATCATTTCTCTGAAGTCTAAAGGCACGTAGTGATGTGTACTGTTCTTAGACTCCCGTTGGAAGTCTCCCATCTCTGTATGCCAAGCTCAGGGTGGTGGGGAATTTGAGACGGAGCAAAGAGCAGATGGTGCAGAGTTCATGGGGTTCCCACTGACGCAGCCGCTCTCATTTCAAAGGCTGCATGGATGCTGACATCGTTCTGTATGCCTGAAATACTTCACCAAAATCAGAAAAAGCCAAAGCACTTTGCCCAAAGTGTGGGCCACTCAGACTTAAGACCAGATGGATCTGTGAAGGGGCTCAGGAAGCAAGGTGAGTGCCAAGTTAACCTCCAGGTACCTCCCACCGGGGTCCAAAGATAGAAGCCTGCAGAAAACCTGTGTGTGGAGCTGAGCCGGCAGAGGGTGGCCAGCCCGCTGGCTTCAAGTGAGTAATGTGAGCAGATGGCTGAGCAAGAGTCCTGGGGCCACATTCCTGCGTTCTTTGGACAGATTCTTCTCAGCGGTTTCTGTGTGAAAGGTTTTGTTCTGTTCTTCTCCTGTCATATCGTCTTCAGCGATTGGGAAACTAAACTGGAAGGGATGGAAAGCAGCCCCAAAAAACTGAGTGAAGTAGGAAAGGGGTTCCGAAGAGAGCACTCGGTGCTGGGTGTAGGTGTGGCTCATCCTAGCAATTGGGAGACCAAGGCGGGGGATCAAGGGTTTGAGGACATAGAGAGACCATGTTTCAAAAGACAAATTGTGTGTGTGAAAGACAGACAGACAGACAGACAGACAGACAGACAGACAGACAGACACACACACACACACACACAGAGGGGTTGGGGGAGATCACTTAGCATCTTTCAATTTTTGTTTTCCTATTTTGGGAACATAGCCTAGGACAGAGGTTTAAAGAGTATAGGTCTGGAATAAGACCACTTGGTCTCAAATCTCAGTTATTGTTGGGTCCCATAAGGCCCAGGCAAGAGGCCCAGTGCAGCTTCCTGAGCCTAGCTGGAGTTTGGCGACCTGTCCTCGGACATGACTTCTACATATGAGTGACTCAGCACTTCCTGACCTAGAATTGCCTCTGCCTAGTAACTGCTGAGACGGCATCATCTCATTGGCCCGCTATCCTTACCACCACCAATCCACCCCCCCCCCCCCGCCCCCCCCCTCCCCGTCACCCCAACCTATATAAATCCACTCCTGATGCAAGACTCCCGGCCCAGTGTGCTTCTCTCTGGTGGAATGGGGAGGTCTGGGCCATCGACATCATCCCGCTCAGCCCCAAGGGAGAGACCCAGTGGACCGGTCCCGCCTCCACCCTACCTGTCTGTCAGACCGACAAATTATGGTCTGGAGGTGTGACTCAGTTGGTAGAGTGCCTACCTAGCTCTGGACTCAGTCTGTAGCACCACAGAAAACTGGGGGTGGTGGTTCACACCTCAAATCCAAGCCCTTGGGAGGTGGAGACAGGAGGATCAGGAGTCCAAGGTGATCTCTGGCTACATGTGACCTACTCAAAAACTAAACCCAGAGGGGCTGCAGACAATGCATTTGTTGCTTTTGCAGAGGACCCTGGCTTGGTTCCCAGCATCCAAATGGTGGCTCACAGTCACATCTGTAACTCCAGTTCCAGGGGAATGGACCCTGTCTTCTGACCTTTGTGGGCACCAGGCATGCACATCGCACACACATACATGCAGGCAAACACACAAATCCAGGGCCTTGCGCTTGCTAGGCAAGCGCTCTACCACTGAGGTAAACCCAACCCCAAAATAAATCTTAAACAAAACAAAACAAAACAAAAAACAAACAAACAAAAACACCTAGCTGGGTGGTGGCACACGCCTTTAATCCCAGCACTTGGGAGGCAGAGGCAGGCAGATCTCTGTGAGTTCAAGGCCAGCCTGGTCTACAGAGCGAGTTCCAGGACAGGCACCAAAACTACACAGTGAAAGCCTGTCTCAAAAAATCAAACCAAACCAAACAAAAAAACCTACAAGATGGCTCAGCAGGTGAAGGCACTTGCTACTAAGCCTGATGACCTGAGTATGATCCCTGGGTCCTCCTGGTGGTGGAACGAAAAATGGATTACTCCACGTTGTCTTCTGACACCCACCTGTGCACCATGGCACACGTGTGCCTCCCCTAAATAAATACATAAATGTAATAAAAACAGAGCAAATCTTCTTGAATTTCCAGCTTTGCATACCCGAGCAGCTGCAGGTGTCTTTGCCTGACTCCTACCATCCGTGGAACCACGACAGCATCCATCTTGATGCGGCATTAAGAGGATTAGTCTAGGGCTGGAGAGATGCCTAGCATTAACCTGAGTTTGATGCCTACCACCCTTGTGGTCTGGCCTCCAAGTACATGGCATAGCACATGTGTGGTTCTCTCTCTCTCTCTCTCATTAAAACTCAAAAAACATGAACATGAGTTAGTCTAAAGATGAAAAAACAAAAACGACCTGAGTCCTGGAAGTTGTTCTCTGCCCTTTGTACACACACCGTGGTACTTGTGTCTGTTCTCTGCCTGTCTCTCTTCCCCTCTCTCACACACAAATAATAAACAGAACAAAGTAACCAGGACAGTGAAAGTTGGTAGCAGCCCACGTGGGACCAGATGACATGTTTTGCAATTCAATATAATTTGAAATTTTGTCATTTAAGGATTTTCCATTATTAATTCAGTCTCAGCTCTAAGTTGCTCTATTTTTTGTTGCTGCTGTTTGAGTCAGGGCCTCACCATGTAGCTCAGGCTGGCCTTGAACTTGCCATGCTCCTCCTGTCTCGGTCTCCTGAGTGCTGGCATGGGTCACCTGGCTTGGTCTACGTAAGTTTTGGAGGCTGTATTAGTTGATACTTAGAAACCATGAAATGACCAGGACAGCCACCTGTGGAAGAGGGAGACGTGACTGGTAAGAATGTGATGGCGCTGGACGGAGGATGAGGGGTAAGGAGAATCTGGCGGGGGACGGACTAGTGATGGAGCACCTAGGACTGCTCGGTGTCAAGATTTCAGTAGCTGATGTCAACATGGCCCGGGGCTGATGAGATGGCTCAGTGCTCAAGCCGCCAAGCCTGACAACCTGAGTTTGATCCCTGGGACCCACATGGGGGAAGGAAGAGAACTGAGTCCTGTCAACTGTCCTGTGACTATCACACATGTGCTGCAGCACACGTATACACACACACACACACACACACACACACACACACACGCACACGCACACGCACACGCACACACACACACACGCACACACGCGCACACACGTACACACACGTATACACACGTACACACACGCACACACACGTATACACACACACACACATGTACACACACAGACACACATACAGACACACATGTACACACACAGACACACACACGTACAGACATGTACACACACACACACACACACACACACACACACTATAATTTTAAAATTGAAGAGAAAAAACCTCACCTGGAGAAGAGGTTCAGTGGTTAAGAATCCTTGCTGCTCTTTCAGGCTGGAGTTTGTTTCTGAATAAGAACTTCTCCTTGCTATTTTCCCAGGGAGCAGTTTCCCCCACTGCTCCCGAATTCTCTCCTCTAGGACCACACTGGTTGCAGTTCCACCTTCCTCGTGTAGTTTTGCGTGATCTGAGTGGTAGTGCTGACACGATGGAAGGAGACCCTCGGGGTTTACCGCCCAGAAGAGCCGAGGACTGGTCCTCTGCAGGTGACAGTACTTACTGCACGAGCCTGGTGACCTCGGTGTGACCCCTGGAGCCCACACAGAAAAGCGGGATGCATTGATGCATGTCTGCAATCTTAGCATTCCTATCACATGAGCTGGGAGACAGAGACAGGCGCCCAGAAGCCTGCTGGCCTGCTAGCCTGATGTACCCGGAGTGGGAGGGACAAGAGTCCCTGGATTAAAAACGAAGCGGGAGTGACCTGACTCCTGAAAGCTGTTCTTTGACCTTTATACATGCGCTGTGGCATGCTCCTGCTCCCTGTCCCTGTCCCCCACCCTCTCTCTCACACCCCTCCCCCACACTCTCACAAATAATAAACACAACAATAACAACAACAACAACAAAACGAAACAGTGGAGGTTAATAGGAGCCCACATGGGACCAGATGATACATTTTGCAGATGGGCTGGAAACTTGCTTTGAAAAAGAGAGAACACAAATCCCGTCATGATTTCAGTATGTCTCATAGTAAAACATATTGAGAACAGGTTATTATGTAGTTCTCTGCTTCATTTACTGATAATGAGACCCAGAAGGCATATAGTTTATTGATTTGCATTTTTAAGGTTCATTTAAGTAACTAAATGAAAATAGTTTTTTTGTTTATTTGTTTGTTTGTTTGTTTGTGTTTTTTTGAGACAGGGTTTCTCTGTGTAGCTTTGCGCCTTTCCCAGAACTAACTCTGTAACTCAGGCTGGCCTAGAACTCCCAGAGATCCACCTGCCTCTGCCTCCCAAGTGCTGGGATTAAAGGCGTGGGCCACCACCGCCTGGCTTTTTTTGTTTTTGAGGCAGGATTCCATGCAGCCTGACTTGCTTCAAACTCCCTGTGTAGCTGAGGATGACTTTCCTGCTTCCATATCCAGGGTGCTGGAAATGCAGAAGCACACCCCCACACTGCGTTTATGTTGTTATGGGGATCAAACCCAGGGCTCAATGCATGTTAGACAAAGGACTCTGCCACATGAGCTGTGACCCCAGCTCTGAAAATCGTTTTTTAGAGCATTTCCATATTTCATTTCTGGTATATTTTAATACCATTGAGATGTTTTAAGTTTTAGGTGCATATGTGATGAAACTATTGGTCTCTCAGAACAATGTAAGCTGGTGTCCTGGGTTGGCTCTGCCAGGTACTGCCAGTGCTGGGGGTCTGCAACTCGTCACTAAAGCTCTGCTCTAAGAACATCATGGCTGTCTCTAGTCTTCATAGTACAAACTTGCAAACTAAGTTTCCAGGGGAATCCAAGTCGTTGGACTACTTTTCTCAGACAGGAGACACTTTCCACCCCAGTCCTTCAGCTTTTTCAAATGTGTCAATCACAAAGTCTCATGATGGAGTTTTTGGGAGAAGACTTCATTCGGTGCTGATTTTGTCGATTTCCTCCGTCACTATGTTCGTTAACATAGGCTTGTGTGGTATGCTGACTGATTGCTTGGGCTACATGTTTTCCTCATCATTGACCATCAGAAGAGATTTTCTCCCAGGAAATACTGCTCCATCTGGGGAATGTTCATCAGCTAGATAGTGGTGCTGCTTGAATGTGAACTATTCCCCCCAGAGGCTGATGTATTTGAACACCTGGTCTCTAGAAAGTGGCACTGTTTAGGAAGGTTGTGGAACCTTTAGGAGGTGAAGCCTTGCTAGAGGAAGTGGTTCATTGGGCCGGGCCTTGGTGTTTGATATCCTGGTCCTACTTCCTGTCTGCTCTTTACTTCCTGGCTGTGGAAGTCATGTAAGCAGCTGCCACGGGTGTCTGCTGCCATGTTCTCCCCGCCATGACGCACTGTAGCCCTCCCATCCTAACAGTCATTGTCACTCTAGTGAGAAATTCTACCCTCGTCTGCCTGCTGCGGTGTGCTCTCCTCTTAGGACCGTTAGCAGTTCTGTTTCTTCAGGCACTGTATTTCTCGAATTATTTGAATGATCCTGCTAGATTGTCCTTAGAAAGTCTTGGACAAGTGATGGCCTCTGCTCATTTTACTTATTTATCCCTCAGTCTTGAGACCCAGAGATCTCAGTATCTGCTGCAACGTGTGGTCTTGGATTTAGAAGGGAAGCATGGCAGGACTTCGATTGAGAGCTCCTCAGAAATTGCAGCCGACCTTTATGAATATTGGAGACAGCGTTTCACTACCTGGTGATGATGCAGCTTTTAACTGTTGGTTAAGACGGATCACCCACCAAACAAGTGACTTCCCACCAGCACAGACATTTCTAACTCATCCCTTGGCTGTTAAACCCTACAGGTCAGTCCATAGGAGCCATCAGAAGTGAGTGGAGAGGCCATGTTTCTGAACAGCTAACTCCAAGTTTCACAGATTACTAGGGAAACATTTAAGTATTAAATATTCTCTCTATGATGGTTATGACAAACATCCCAGGCTGGGGCGCTAGTTCAGTGGGTCTAGGCACTTGCCACCAAGCATGACAACCTGAACTCAATCCCCGGCATCTACAGGGTAGAAGAGAATTGATGGTTACAACCTGTCCTCTGACCTCCACATGAGTGCCTTCCCAACCCCAATAAATAAATACATTTAAAAAAATTAAAGATGTATCATTTCCTCCTGCTCTTACAGAATTAAGTGAGTCCATGGAAGGTAATATCTCACCCTTTGGGAGTTCCTTCGTCATTTTTGTTGTTAAGACAGGGTCTTATGTAGCCCAGGCTTGCCTTAAATTCACTACATAGCAGAGGATGACCTTCAACTTTTTGATTTTAAGTTGTTCTTAAATTCTTTTGTTGGGTTAGGCTTAAGCTTACTTTGAATGGAGATTCCTTTCCTGGTATTAGTGAGGGTACAGACTCTATTGCATTTCCACATGGTGGTTCACAATTGTCTGTAACTCAAGTTCCAGGGGATCTGTGCCCTCTTCCAGCCTGTGCAGGCTCCTCCATGCATGCGGTGTACATGAACTCATGAAAGCACATGTACATACATGTTTTAAAAAGGCCTTTAAAAGAAAGAAAATGGGCTGGCAACGTGGCTCAGTGACTAAGAACCCTTGTTGGTTTTGCAGAGGACCCAGGTTTGATTCCCAGCACCTATATGGTGGCAAACACAATCATCCATAACTCCAGAGGATCCAACACCACCTTCTGACATCTGTAGGTACCAGGCATGCATGTGGCGTGCGCGCACACGCACACACACACACACACACACACACACACACACACACACACACAAATAAATCCAATAAAAAATAAAAGAAGAAGAAATCGTGTGATTTTAAATTAGCTTCCTCATACTCCATTTTTGCACATTTCTCCAGCTTTCTGATGTTATGAATTAACCAGTTCTGGTAACTTTTCTTTCTGCTGTATACTTCATGGTTTGGCTTTGCAGTTTGCCTCTGCATGGTGTGGTGGCAAAAAGTCCCTAGTTGTAGGTGTAGAAGAAGGAGGAGTGCGACATAGGAGACTTGGTCCTGCTTTGGGAAAGCAGAGGCAGGGGGATCCCTGGAGCTCATTGGCCAGGCAGCCTGGATGAATTGGTAAGCTTCAGCTTAGAGAGAGCCTTTGTCTCAAAAAGAAGATGAGGAGCAATGAAGGGAAACATCTAACATGGACCTCTAGCCTCCACATAAAATGGCATATGTGTGCACATCCTCATAAACATATACATATGTGTATATCCCTCACCACACACAAACTCCAAGAGGGAACTCTTGAATCTGGCAAAGAGGGCCTATTGGTTTAAAGGGCCCGCAGCGCCGATGGGCTCTCCACTGTGTGGCCTGGTAGCGCCCACAGGCTCTCCACTGTGTGTCTCAGGGCTCCACTCTTGCTCAGTCAGTGTCCCAACTGCACTTAACAGACAGACTGTGAAACCGGCCCACATTCCAATTGTGAAAATGCGAGATCCACAGTATCTTGATCCCAGTGAAGCAACCACAAGATGTAAGAGGTGTTTGAAAGGCTGATCACAGCAACACTTTATTCTGTGATTGTGTCATGTACCAGATGCTGGGGGATGGTCTGTATGTCAAATTGCTCTGATTGGTCAATAAATAAAACACTGATTGGCCAGTGGCCAGGCAGGAAGTAGGTGGGACAAGGAGAGAGGAGAATTGTGGGAAGCAGAAGGCTGAGGCGGAGAGACACTGCAGCCGCCGCCATGACCAGCAGCCTGTGAAGACGCCGGTAAGCCACCAGCCACGTGGCAAGGTATAGATTTGTGGAAATGGTTAATTTAAGATAAAAGAACAGTTAGCAAGAAGCCTGCCACGGCCATACAGTTTGTAAGCAATATAAGTCTCTGTGTTTACTTGGTTGGGTCTGAGCGGCTGTGGGACTGGCAGGTGACAAAGATTTGTCCTGACTGTGGGCAAGGCAGGAAAACTCTAGCTACAACCAGATGTTTTAAATATTGAACTTGGTGTCTCCTTCCTGTAAATATTCCTGTGTGGAGCCCAGGTCTTTTGTTCTTGCCAACAGTACATGCTTCGTTCCATGTTCCCAAAGTCGTTCATGCACGAAACTCCTGCTCCTTGGAAAATGAAATGCTAAGGGATTCTCCATTGCTTTCAGACCTAACTGAGAGAGGATGCCTCCCAAATCTTCCCATTTCTTTGAGGGTCTAATGACTGCAAACCCTTAGTATCTGTTACCCTGTGACCCAGTGGTCTGTGCTTGAACCCCTCTGGTTAGGATAGAGATTACTGTGACCCAGTGGTCTGTTTGAACTCCTCTGGTTAGGATAGAGAGTACTGTGACCTAGAGGTCTGCCCTAACCCCTCTGGTTAGAATAGAGAGTACTGTGACCCAGTGGTCTGCTTGAACCCTTCTGGTTAGAATAGAGAGTATGTGACCTAGAGGTCTGCCCTGACCCCTCTGGTCAGGATAGAGGGTACTGTGACCTAGAGATCTGCCCTAACCCCTCTGGTCAGGAAGAGTGCTTTGGTAAGGTAATAGGTAGCTCAAAGAACCTCTGCGAAGGCCAGATAATCAGATGTTGGCAGTACAAATACAAACACGTTCCAACTTGGACTGATTATATGGAGAGGAAATCCAGCCAATCCCTCATTCAAGCCCCAATACCATTTCCTTTTACTCTGAAGATAATTTCCAGGGAGATAGTTTTGCAGAGATGTGTAGCCAATGGTTTCCTTAATCCCTTTGGCTCATATCGCCTAGTATATGAGAGTCAGGCGAAGATATTAAAACTGAAGGGTAAATCCTACCCTCACTCTTAATTGG